AAGAAGAGCTAACGATCCTAAATATATATGCACCAAATACAGGAGCATCCAGATACATAAAGCAAGTTCTCAATGACTTGCAAAGAGACTTAGGCTCCCAAATACTAAGAGTGGGAGACTTTAACACCCCATTGTCATTAGACAGATCAATGAGACAGAAAATTAACAAGGATATCAAGGACTTGAACTCAGACCTGGACCAAGCAAACCTAATAGACATTTACAGAACTCTCCACCCCAAATCCACAGAATATACATTCTTCTCAGCACCACATCACAACTACTCTAAAACTGACCACATAATTGGAAGTAAATCACTCCTCAGCAAATGCAAAAGAATGTAAATCACAACAAACAGTCTCTCAGACCACGGTGCAATCATCTTAGAATTGAGAATTTAAACACTAACTCAGAACTGCACAGCTTCCTGTAAACTGAACAACTGGCTCTTGAATGTTGACTGGATAAACAACGAAATGAAGGCAGAAATGAAGATGTTATTCGAAACCAATGAGAAAGAAGACACAACATACCAGAACCTCTGGGACACATTTAAATTAGTCTGTGGAGGAAAATATATAGCAATAAATGCCCACATGAGAAGCGAGGAAAGACCTAAAGTCGACATCCTATCATCAAAATTGAAAGAGCTAGAAGAGCAAGATCAAAAAACTCATAACCTAGCAGAAGGCAAGAAATAACTAAGATCAGAGCAGAAATGAAGGAGATAAAGACACACACAAAAAAAAACTTTCAAAAAACCTATAAATTCAGGAGCAGGTCTTTCAGAAAGATTACCAAAATAGACCACTAGCCAGATAAATAAAAAAGAAAACAGAGAATAATCAAATGGCTGCAATAAAAAACGATAAAGCGGGTATCACCACAGATTCCAAAGAAGTACAAACCATCATCAAAGATTACTACAAACAACTCTATGCACATAAACTAGTAAACCTGGAAGAAGTGGGTAAATTCCTGGACACTTGTATCCTCCGAAGCATAAACCAGGAAGAATGCAAAAACCTGAATAGACCAATAACAAGGTCTGAAGTTGAGGCAGCAATTAAGAGCCTACCACCCAAAAAAAGCCCAGGTCAAGATGGGTTCACAGCCGAATTCTACCAGACGTACAAACAGGAGCTGGTACTATTCCTTCTGAAACTATTCCAAACAATCCAAAAAGAAGGAATCCTTCCGTAAACACTTTTATGAGACAACATCATCGTGATACCAAAACCTGGCAGATATTCAGCAAGAAAAGAAAACTTCAGGCCAATATCGATTATGAACATAGATGAAAAAATCTTCAATAAAATACTGGCAAACCGATGGCAACAGCACATCAAAAAGCTTATCCACCATGATCAAGTAGGATTCATCCCAGGGATGCAAGGCTGGTTCAACATAGGCAACTCTATAAACGTAATTCACCACATAAACAGAACCAAAGACAAAAACCACATCATTATCTCAATTGATGCAGAGAAGGCCTTTGACAATATTCAATAGCCCTTTATGCTAAAAACGCTCAATAAACTAGGTATTGACAGAACATATCTCAAAATAATAAAAGCTATTTACGACAAACCAACAGCCAATATCATACTGAATGGGCAAAAACTGGAAGCATTCCCTTTGAAACCTGGCACTAGACAAGGATGCTCTCTCTCACCAATCCTATTCCATATAGTACGGGAAGTTCTAGCTGGAGCAATCAGGCAAGAAAAAGAAATAAAGGGTATTCAAATAGGAAAGGAAGAAGTCAAATTGTCTCTATTTGCAGACGACATGCTTGTATATCTAGAAGACCCCATCATCTCAGCCCAAAATCTCCTGAAACTGATAAGCAAGTTCAGCAAAGTCTCAGGATACAAAATCAATGTGCAAAAACCAAAAGCATTTCTATGCACCAATAGCAGGCTTAAAGAGAGCCAAATAAAGAGCCAAATCACGAATGAACTGCCATTTAAAATTGCTACAAAGAGAATAAAATACCTAGGAATACAACTAACCAGGAATGTAAAGGACCTCTTCAAGGAGAACTACAAGCCACTGCTCAACGAAATAAGAGAGGACACAAACAGATGGAGAAACATTCCGTGTTCGTGGTTAGGAAGAATCAATATCGTGATAATGACCATAGTGCCCAAAGTAATTTACAGATTCAATGCTTTCCCCATCAAGCTACCAATGACCTTCATCACAGAACTGGAAAAAACCACCTTAAACTTCATATGGAAGCAATAGGGAGCCCACATAGCTAAGTCAATTCTAAGTAAAATGAACAAAGTGGGAGGCATCACACTACCGGATTTCAAACTATACTACAAGACTGCAGTAATCAAAACAGTATGGTGCTGGTACAAAAACAGAGATATAGACCAATGGAACAGAACAGAGGCCGTGGAGGCAACACCATGCATCTACAACCATCTGATCTTTGACAAACCTGACAGAAACAAGCAATGGGGAAAGGAGTCCCTGTTTAATAAATGGTGTTGGGAAAACAGGCTAGCCATGTGCAGAAAACAGAAACTGTACCCCTTCTTGACACCTTACACTAAAATTAACTCTTGATGGATTAAAGATGTAAACTTAAGACCTAACACCATAAAAACCCTAGAACAAAACCTAGACAAAGCCATTCAGGACATAGGCATAGGCGAGGACTTCATGACCAAAACACCAAAAGCATTGGCAACAAAAGCCAAAATAGATAAATGGGACCTAATCAAACTCTACAGCTTCTGCACTGCAAAAGGCACAGTCAGTAGAGTGAATCAGCAACCAACAGAATGAGAAAAAAATTTTGCAGTCTAATCATCTGACAAAGGGCTGATATCCAGAATCTACAAAGAACTAAAACAGATTTACAAGAAAAAAACTAGCAAGCCCATTCAAAAGTGGGCAAAGGATATGAACAGACACTTTACAAAAGAAGACTTACATGAGGCCAACAAACATATGAAAAATGCTCATTATCACTGGTAAGTAGAGAAATGCAAATAAAATCTACAGTGAGATACCATCTCACGCCAGTTAGAATGGCGATCATTAAAAAATCTGGAGACAACAGATGCTGGAGAGGATGTGGAGAAATAGGAACACTTTTACACTGTTGGTGGGAGTGTAAATTAGTTCAAACATTGTGGAAGACAGTGGCAATTCCTCAAGGACCTAGACATAGATATTCCATTTGACCCAGCAATCCCATTACTGGGTATATATCCAAAGGATTATAGATCGTTGTACTATAAGGACACATGCACACGAATGTTCATTGCAGCACTGTTTACAATAGCAAAGACCTGGAACCAACCCAAATGCCCATTGATGATAGGCTGTACAGGGAAAATGTGGCACATATACACCATGGAATACTATGCAGCCATCAAAAGTGATGAGTTCGTGTCATTTATAGGGACATGGATGAACCTAGAAACCATCATTCTCAGCAAACTGTCGCAAGAACAGAAAATCAAACACCACATGTTCTCGCTCATAGGTGGGTGTTGAACAATGAGAACACATGGACACAGGGAGGGGAGCATCACACACTGGGGTCTGTAGGGGGGAAATAGGGGAGGGACAGTGGCAGATGGGGAGTTGGGGAGAGATAGCATGGGAAGAAATGCCAGATATAGGTGATGGGGAGGAAGGCAGCAAATCACACTTCCATGTGTGTACCCATGCAACAATCTTGCATGTTCTTCACATGTATCGCCAAACCTAAAACACAATTTTTTAAAAAGGAAAAAATAAAATTAAATTAAAATAAGGTATCTACCATGATACAAATCCATTTGATGCCATAGTTACATTTCATTAAAATATTTTGTGTTTGTAATTTCATAATATTGGCTAGTTTCCTTTAATTTACATTAACCATCCATGTTAAGTGGTAAGTTTTTAATATTAGTGATATAAAGTTTCATTTTTAAATGATTAAATTAGGATAAATGACTCAATTTTAATAAGTATATTAACAACAACAGAGTTGACATGCAAACAAGACAAAAATCCTAAAGATGGTACATGAATGGCTAAGATCTACACAATGTCACCGTATGTCATGGTGTGCTAAGAATAACTGTGCTACCCATTAAACAGAATATTACAGAAAGAGTAATCCAAGCTTTTGGCCCTGTAAAACCGCAGAGCTGCTGAGGAGTGTTTACTTAGCAGAGACATGGAAGTAACATATACGATATCTATATGAAATACTGTCAACTATGCTAAATACACATTGGAAAATGTGTCTGTGAGAGGTCGGGTTCTACTACTAGAGTCACTACCAAATATTAATGCATTCACTAAAAGTTTGATGATGCCTACCAAACTTTAGGCCTTGTTCTGGATGTTGAATACGTAAAAACAATAAAATTTAGTCCTTGCCATCAAGGATCTTACAGTTAATATGAGCAGGTTGGCAGACAAATAATCATAAACACTCAACAAAAGATAAAATACTAAAATTATATGTCAGAGAAGTTCCCAGTGAAAACAAGGGAAGGACATACAGAAAGAAAAATCTAGGAAATATGCTAAGGCTGCCATGGCCATAGAAGTAGAATAAAAACCACCATAAATGACTCCTTGAGAGAGTGAAAATGCTCACCTGCACTTGACAATTCCATTGATCATTGGGTTCACATCCTTGATTCTGTTGATATAAGCCTGAACAACATCTGTGCATTTCACCTGCAAAATACAATATTTAGCAGGCATTTATTGGCTAAACAATTCATTCAACAAGTATTTTGTAAAAGACTGCAGTGTACATTAATCATTTTTTGAGACACTGTCAGTGAATTACCAAGCATAGTCCCCCATGAGGCAAAATATAAGGCCTAAGAAGTATAAGAAGTCTATGTTGAAGGTAAGAAGTCTAAAATATACCAGCATAAGAAAGTTCCAAATAATGAATAGGGCTAAAAGGAATAAACTCTGCTGAAATTAAATATAAATTGGAGTTCAGAGATATTATGTGTATATACTAAACTGGCAAATATTCGTTGCAGTAAATAATCAATAAAAAGTAGATATTATTTCAGTAATACCCAGAAACTTAACAGTATACACCATCTCTGCAAAACCAAGAGTTAAGGAGTAGAGACATAAAAGGACATAAAGATAGGGTTTCCAGATAAAATACAGGAAATCAAGGTAATTTGAATTTCAAATGAATAGAGAGTAAGTTTTAATATAAGACTGTCCCAATTATTGCATGGGGATGATTATACTGAAACCTATATGTTATTTATCTTAAATTTAAATTTAGCTAAGCACATTGTATTTGTGTTTGCTATATTTGCCAACCCTAAACCAAAGGTCTTATGCATGTGAGGAGACATAAGACAAGTAAAACATCCGTGGTTGGTGCTAAAATATTCTTATTTAATTATTATGTATAATTTTAGTTTATATATATATATATATGTATATATTATTGCATTTTAGGTTTGGGGGTACATGTGAAGAACATGTAAGATTGTTGCATAGGTACACACATGGCAGTGTGGTTTTCTGCCTTCCTCCTCATCACCTATATCTGGCATTTCTTCCCATGTTATCCCTTTCCAACTCCCCACCCCTCATTGTCGCTCCCCTAGTTGCCCACAGAGACCCCAGTGTAGGATGCTCCCCTCCCTGTGTCCATGTGTTCTCATTGTTCAACACCCGTCTATGAGTGAGAACTTGTGGTGTTTGATTTTCTGTTCTTCTGTCAGTTTGCTGAGAATGATGGTTTCCAGGTTCATCCATGTCCCTACAAAGGACATGAACTCATAATTTTTGATGGCTGCATAGTATTCCATGGTGTATATGTGCCACATTTTCCCTGTCCAGTCTATCGTCGATGGGCATTTGGGTTGGTTCCAGGTCTTTGCTATTGTAAACAGTGCTGCAATGAACATTCGTGTGCACGTGTCCTTATAGTAGAACGATTTATAATCCTTTGGATATATACTCAGTAATGGGATTGCTGGGTCAAATGGAATTTCTATTTCTAGGTCACAATTGTAGTTTTAATTATAATTCTTAGACATGAGACAGTAAACATTAGAAAATTGCAAAGTAGGTCTTTGCTATTGTAAACAGTGCCACAATGAACATAGCTTTTCATTTGTCTCTATAATAGAACAATTTCTAATCCTTTGGGCATACACCCATTAATGGGATTGCTGGGTCAAATGAAATCCCTATTTCTAGATCATTGAGGAATCACCACACTGTCTTTGACAATGGTTGAACTAATTTACACTCCCACCAACAGTCTAAAACTGTTCCTATTTCTCCACATCCTCTCCAGTATCTGTTGTCTCCAGATTTTTCAATGATTGCCATTCTAACTGGCGTGAGATGATATCTCAATGTAGTTTTGATTTGTATTTCTCTAATGACCAGTAACGATGAGCATTTTTTCATGTTTTTCGCCGCATAATTGTCTTCTTTGGAAAAGTGTCTGTTCATATCCTTTGCCCACTTTTTGATGGCATTACTTGTTTTTTTCTTGTAAATCTGTTTTAGTTCTTTGTAGGTTCTGGATATTAGCCCTTTGTCAGATGGGTAAATTGCAAAATTTCTTTTCCCATTCTGTTGGTTGCCAGTTCACTCTAATGCTTGTTTCTTTTGCTGTGCAGAAGCTCTTAAGTTTAGTTAGATCCCATTTGTCTATTTTGGCTTTTGTTGCCATTGCTTTTGGTGTTTTAGTCATGAAGTCCTTACCTATGCCTATTTCCTGAATGGTATTGCCTAGGCAGCAAACCACCATGGGATGTGTGTACCTATGCAACAATCTTACAAGATCTGCACATGTACCCCAGAACTTAACGTACAATTAAAAAACGAGAATTGCGAAGCAAAACAGAACCCCCAAGTAAAGAGAAGAGAAAAATAATTAAAAAGAAATCATATCAAGACAGAAAAGGGAAGGAAAGGAAAAGAGAATGCAAGTATGATAAATTATAAACATTACATCAAGTGAAAAGGATTAAACCAATTGCATTATAAGTGTGAAGGACTGAATTCCCCTGTCAGAGGGCAAAGACATTAAATTTGGTTTTAAAAAAAGCTAAGAAATTTATCTGGAACAAAAAGACAATGAAAGATTGAAAACAAAGAGTTAGGCAAAGATATACAAGGTGAAAACAAACAACAAGAAAGCAGAGGTGGTATTATTAATATCAGAGAAAGCAAATTTTAAAACTAAAACATAAAATGGAATGATATATGAGAATGCCCTCACAGTCATACGCATTTCTGTATTAATAAGGCAGGCAAATACATGAGGCATATACTACAAATACAAAGAGAAGTTAACCAGATGTGTAAGTATAGTAGCAGACAATATAGCTCTCTCAGGGACTGACAGATCAAGGAGTAAAAAGCGATGATATATTCAAGAATTTAATAATACAACCAACATGCCCAAATGCATAGTGAGGGAGAATTTTTACTCCATCAAGAATATGCTCTTTTTTAAATTGCATTTTAGGTTTGGGGCTACATGTGAAGAACATGCAAAATTGTTGCATAGGTACACACATGGCTCTTTATTCATCAGTCATGAACAAAAAATAATCATGTCACACAAAGAAAATTTTAAAGCCCAAAAGGTTTTAGAGAATTTCTTGGTCAGTTTGACAAATTGTCATATTCTAGGAGTACTAGAAAACCAAAATTTAAAGATGATATTTGGAAGGCTTAACTATCTCAAAAACATTCTTCCATATAACCAATGGGTCTAAGAGGTAAACAAAACTAAAATGGTAAATTATCCAGAAATTCACAAAAAAGGAACGTTTCTTATCAAATCTATTGAATATAAGTAAAACTGTCATAATATGCTTTTACTTATAAAAATAAAAGTAAGACAACATATAAGGTATTCAAGTTACAGTAATAGAAAAATAAAAGCAATTGTTTTAAAGAATAACAAATCAAGATAAAATTTAATGGCTCAGAAATAAAATAGGAAAAGTAACAACAAAACAAGTATAAAAGAATAAACTAACTTTTAAATACCTATCAAACAGATAAACTGCAACAAGCATGATGGAGAAAGAGTGTGTGCAGAAAATTGGTTAGTATTAAGAATGAAAAAAAGAGATATAAGCATAGACACAGGGGAGATTTATAGAATTAAAAAGAAAGCTATATGTACTTTTTCTTTTGGGTTAATTCTACTTGTCCTTTAGAATTATGCATCTAGTAGGTTTTCAGTAAATTTTAAATGCATACACAGACAGAGATTTCAGCCACCATAACTCAATAGTCTAGTGTACACACAGCTCTAGAATTAAGAGCCTGGATTGCCAAGCTGGTGTCTAGCGGCTGGCCGCTCCATCAACGTATACAACCCCAAATATCTTCAACTGCCACTGCTACCTTAATTGAATTTGCAACATGTAGAATATGACAAAAATAAAATAAACAGGTTTTAGAGGTAGAAATTAACATGACCATAATTGCCATTTGCTAAATACATGCCAAGAACTTTATACCTGTTATGTCATTAAATCCTCCTCATAACACATGTAATATTATCCCCATTTTACAGATGAAGTCACTGAGACTCACTCAGGGAGGTTAAGTGACTTAACCAAGGTCATATACCTGAGCCTGGATATTTGTGTTTGCTTTTTCCAAATGAACCTTGCAGTCCTAAGAAAAATGAATACTAGGTACATGGTTAAAAATTCCACTCACTACAGAAAAGTACAAATGCAAACTGACACAAGAACAGAAAATCAAACACTGCATGTTCTCAAGAACAGAAAATCAAACACCACGTGTTCTCACTCATAGGTGGGTGCTCAACAATGACAACACATGGATACAGGGAGGGGAGCATCACACACTGGGATCTGTCGGGGGGAAATAGGGGAGGGACAGTGGGGGGTGGGGAGTTGGGGAGAGAGAGCATGAGGAGAAATGCCAGATATAGGTGAAGGGGAGGAAGGCAGCAAATCACACTGCCATGTGTGTACCTATGCAACAATTTTGCATGTTCTTCACATGTATCCCCAAACCTAAAATGCAATAAAAAAAAGAAAAGTGAAAGCTTCTCACTCTCTCTCTTTCCCTCCCTCAGTCCCTTTTCCCCTCTCTTCAGCTCTCTCTCTCTCTTCCTCCTTCACACAAAAGAAATCGTATTATATTCATTGTTCAGCATCTTATATTTCTACCACTGCATCATATTCCTCTGTATGGATGGACTAAAGGAAGAACTAGTGATTTTTTTTATTACTTAACTAAAAACTAAAAATATATTTTTCTAATTTTCTAAAGTATTGATTATATTTATTATAAATAGGCAACCTGAGCACACGTTTCAAAAGTCTGAAAGTAAAAAAGGTCATGCAATGAAGTCTCCTTCCACTCTTGTCTCCTAACATTTCCCCCGCATTCCTCTCCCCGGCATTACTCTCCAGAGTAAACTACTGTTATTAGTTTTTTTACATCTTTCCAGAGATGTGGGTGGGAGACCCCGTGGGAGACCCCACAAGTGCCGAGGCAAGGGTCTGAAGCCTCAACCTGTTCCCCTATGAATACAGGACTAGAAAAGAATTAGAGATGCAGTTACATAGTTATTCATATATATATACATATCTATGTATATAAAACTGTATATAATCACAGTTATTCACATATAATATATATACTCAATATAACCTTTTAAGTTTACTAATGATTATCCAGTTATGAAGCATGGAACTGAGGTGACATTGTGAACAAAGTGATCCTAAGGCGAGATGCTCTAAGCCCTCTGTCACACCCTCATAAGGGTGCCTGCTGGAGGGTACCTCGGCTATGCAGCAGTGCCAGCACTGGGAAAGTGCCTGCTGTTTATCCAGCTACAGAAGGAGATGTCCAAAATGGACAAGATATCTCCTTCCCCCAGGGGTGTTAGGAGAAAACTCCGCTTCTCCAAGCTTTTGTGGTAGGCCTGACAGCTGTCAAGCAGACATGCAGACATCCCGGGGCTTAACTGTCTCTATGTGATGCTGTGCTTCAGTGGTCAAGTTCTATGCCTACTTTCATGTTCCGCTTCTGCACCTGGTCCCTCCCTTTCTTAAAAGATAAAATCAGTAATAGTAACATAAATCTTAATGTCACCGTTCTTTCTTGACAAGTATGAGAAAAGTGCTGATGCATTAGGTTTTCTCCTCACCTCAGCTATTTGAAAGACCCGGGCCCCTATCTCCAAGACACGTGATTTACCTGACCCCGTCACTGACCACCATTGCCTCACCCTACCTACCCAATCCCATGCCTTGTACTAAATAAAAGTAAGAGTGTCCGGGCACTCGGGCCACTGCCAGACTCCGCAGTTTGGTTGGCAGTGGACCCCTGGGCCCAAACTCTGTTTTCTCTTTCTCGGTGTCTTGTGTCTTTTATTTCCACAGTTTCTCATCTCCATACCAGTAGAGAGGGGCTCACAGGACCCTGTAGGGCTGGACCCTACCCAGAGACATACAGATAAGTAGATGATATATAAAAATATACTAGGTAGCTATAGAAACGTAGAAACAAAAGACATTATTATTTCATACAGATGTAGCATATCATACAAAGTATTCTGTATTTTGTTTTATTCATTTAAAATATGTTTTGGAACTCATTCCATATCTTGTAAATAAAGAGCCACTTCATTCTTTTGCTTGATGCATACTATCAAATACATAGACATACCGTAGCATATTTAATCAGGACTCTGATTTGCCTTTACTAGCACTTTTACAAATAACGTATGAATGAGGATATCCTCATATATATGTAATTAGATGATTTCCGAGTGGGACTTACGGTTTCAAAACCTCATCGACTTTGGAATCATCAACAAAATCAAATATCCAATGTGCAAAAACAATGACCAGGCTATGTATGGTGGTGGATGTAAGTTGATGTTTTTTTGTAAAGGCCCAATCTCGGATACCAACTGAGGCTGTGGCAGTTCAGATGACATAAACGTAAAGGTAGCCTAAATTCAGAACAATAGAAAAGTACTCATATAGGGACACAAAAGCAAGCATAAAGATAGTAGATGCTGATTCATAGGAAACTGACTGTTCAATCAGAGCTCATTATCAAGAAGCATTACTCTTCCATAAAGTGCCAACAAAAATTGAGTAAGATTCACCTGGCTCTACAACTTTGTAGCTGTGTGTCATTGGACAAGCTATTAGAAAGCTCTAAACTTTATTTTCCTATTCTGTAAGATGATGATAATTATAGACACATCAAAATGTTGTTATGAAGATTCCATTCACAAAAATCTAAGTAAAATATTTGCCTTATCAAGTGGCACATAGTAGGTCTTTGTTAAATTTAGTTGTTTTGCAGTAACAATATATCTGTGTATATAAAAGACAGAAACTAAAGGATAAATAAGACTTTGTATCCACTCCACTTCTTCCCTTCAGAATATTTTTATAAATCTAGATAAACTATATCTAGATTATCTCTTCTCATGGGCAAACATGAATGAAAATGGCTAATTACCAAAAACCTGATAATAGTACTAGTAAAGATTTATATAGGACTAGTATGCTAGGCAATGTTCTATAAGTTTTATGTATATGAATTCATTTAATTCATCTCAACTCTAAAAGGTATATTCTATTATCAAATCAAGTTTTCTTAAAGGATATCAGAGGCACAAAAAGTTAAGCAACGTTTCTAAGATCACAGAGCTAGACCGTAGGAGAGCTAGGATTTCTGAACCCAGGCAGTCTGGCTCTAGAGTCCATTCTTCTAATCATTATGATACACAATGTCCTATGTGCCAGGTGTTTGCGGTGTATTATCTGCAATTGTCGTGGCACAAGGTCACACAACCATGGACAGACAGTCCAAAATTTGAAATCTATTATCTTTCTACTATTAATGTGGTGCAAAAGTAATTGTGATTTTTGCCATTAAAAGTAATGGCAAAAATCACAATTTAAAAAATCACAATTACTTTTGCACCAACTGAATACATCCCATTGCCTCCCTAACTGTTAGAAAAGCATGCATGAGTGAGTAGAGGCTGGGGAGGGGGAACAGCAAGAAGACAAGATATGTCTTTGAAAGGTAACCAGAATGTAATACAAACATTGTTAATTCATGCATTCAGGAACACATATTGAGATATTCATAAAGTATTTACTGCATGCCTATTCTTTGTTAAGTAGTATTGTAGATTCTGGAAATAAAGCTGACAAAAACAAATGAAACAGCAGAGAGATAAAAACAAGTGAAGTCTAAATAAGGATTACTAAACTGTAGCCCAAGATCTCTAGTTAACCAATCATTTATGTGACAGAGATGAATAGTCCTGCCTGCACAACTCTAGAAAGAACGAATGAGCTGCTTAAATTTTTAATTAAGAATTTTCAACAATTTTTGTGTATATATTTTGCTTTAGTTTCATTTTACTTTAGTTTCCTTATGCATAAAATATGAATATTACCTATATAACTGCATCTGTGAAATAGAATATGTTTAAGTACCCAGGCATAGTATTTCACATATGCTATGCTCTAAATATATGGTAGACACAGCTTTTACTAACCTAGACCAAGCACTACTTTTATTTTAAATAAATTTTTTAAAGAATTGGTTAAATGGTAAGCAGCAGACAGATCTGGGGCCTGTGAGAGAGGGAGGAAGAGAGAGAGAGAAAGGGAGAGAGTGAGAGAAAGAGAGATACCGATTGAAATGGCTGAGAATCAGTTTGAAACTCACAGCTGATTTACCCCACACACAATAATTATGCACAAATAGGACAAATGATAGGAAGGACTATGAGGGTGCCAAAATAGTCCAACCCATGCCCGCAGTAAATGTCCTTGATAAAAATAAACGTACTACAACACCCAGAAGTCTCCCTTTATCCCCAGAAAATACCTCTCATAAGTCAAGTCGCCTTAGTGGAGGATGGAAAGGAAACCACAACCACAGCCACCAAAAGCTTCCTGGATCCAGCTAAAAGACCTGTTCCTCCAGCCTCTTCTGAATTGCACTCTCACCTTTCTCTGTCGGATCAGCTTGGCCAGCTGCATTCCAGAAAGTAGAAGCAATGGTTCAGTCACCGGCCGGGGGGTCTTTGAGGCAAACTTGGGGCCCGTTAAGACTAAAGCTGCTCGGCCTACTAGGCCTATGAGAAAGCCTAGCGCACGCAAGAGAAACCACTGAATGCGGGCAGTGAATGAAGGTGCCATCGCAGCCTGGATTCCACACGGTCCTAGTGCTTGAGGGTTCCGTGCACCCTGGGGAAAGGAGGAGAAAAAGATTAAGCAAAGAGGTGCTTGTGAAGCCTTTAGTTTACAAGTCCAGTATCTACCCACAATTCCACAGGAACTTGTTTATCATCACCTGCAGGGCTTCTAGCCAGAGATGGGGCGGCGACTTCCCAGAAGCTGCCTGTGTGCAATACTACCTGTTGTTAGTGCTGGTGTAACCCAAGACAGAAAGTGAGTCATAAAAAAAAAAAAACACTGTTCTTGGAATTCCCCAGTTCTGCTACTGTGTAGCCCTGGTCAATTTACACTATGTCTCACAGATAGTGTACTCGTATGAAAAAATGGGAATAATTACTCCTACATCAAAGGGTTACCATAAACACTATATAATAAATAAAAACATTTAACACAATTTATGGTAAATAGTATAAGTGGTAGTTGTTATAGTAATATAAGTGGTAGTTGTTATATTTCAGCTGTACCTGTGAAAAAAGTGTTGTACATATACCTTTGTATGCAAATATTCAGTATGCGTAACAAACAACTAAATGGCAAGCATAACTATTTTTTTCCATATGGATATTCTTTAATGCTTATAAGATCACTAACAGGTAGTACTGATGAATATCAAATCTCCAGCCCATCTCTCTCCTAAACTGGACACTTGAAATGCCTTTTTGACATCTTCATGTGAATGTCTTACAGATCTTTCAAACTCAACATGCCCAAAACTCATCCTTTTCTCAACAATCTGCTGCTCCTACAGGTTTACAAACGGCATTTTCATCCACCCAGTCAGCCATGCCAAAAATCTAGAATCATTTCAGATTCTTACATTTGTTTCATTCTCATGAATAATCACCAAGTCCAACTAATGCCTTTCCCTCTCAACTCAGTCTGCTCGAATCTCACTGATGTTTGTGTGAACTTCTACAAATAATCTAGCTGATCACCCTGCCTTTGTTTATAGAGTGTTCTTTATAATATACAAATCTGACAATGTTACTCCGCTGCCAATAACTCTGCAATAATCCTCAATTTTCCTCAGGTTCAAGATCCATCTACTTTGTCTGGCATTCAAGTCTCATGACTGGTGTCTAAAAAACTCTATGTTTCATCCCTAACAGCTTCCATCCCTCATATGCTAAGCTCCTGACAAATAACTATCTGAAAGTTCTCTCTTCCCTATATATTCTTGTATCTGCTTTCCCAACCTCTCCATCTAGTTCAGAACAAGTACCGCCTTCTCCAGCAAGTCTTCCCTGAACTTCCAACTGGGTGCAATGCCAGTCTTTTGTAACCTTGCACTCAATAGATAACAAAATCATAGCACTTACAACCCTCCATTATGTGCTAGATTTTTGTATCTATGCCCCATCTAGATATGAATTCATTGAAGAACAGGGCCATTCTAATTCCTGTTTGTATTGCCAGAGCCTAACATAGGGCTTGATGTGAAGTCAATACAGGTTTGTAGGTTAAAGATATGAGATTATGAAATAACGAATGTTGAAGATAGGGATTTGACTTTAGCATTTAAGGCCTTGGGTAGATGAAATGGCAAAGTCATCCAGGGCACTGTTTTTTCTCCTGCAAAACTTAGGTGGATACTGAATGTGTCATCACAACACTTCTGGCCTAATTCAAGCACCTGGCAGAAAGCAGGTTAATCATGACAGGCACATCTAGCAGATCCAGTAAATAAAGCTGATGAAGTAGGTTGTCATAATCTAGGCTCCATTACAGTTCTGAGCAAAATCTGTAGCTGAGTGAACCTTCTTTACCAAAAAAAGTTTTGTCAAAATGAAAATCTTTCTTCTGTCTAACTTTACTTTATCTAAGTTGTAAATGACCAATATGTGAATCTGAGGTACAAATAATGCTCACTGATTGGGCACTGACCAGACAGATCCAAATCCAAATCCTAGATCCAGCACTCATTATGTTTTTGACCTTGTACAAATCACTTAATGTCCCCGGCTGGATTTTCTCATCTGTAAAGTAGAATAACAGTTTCCATGTGGTGTTCTGAAAATTAAATCACATATGCATGTAAAGTTTCAGGGTTTTTTAATCATAAACATTTTAATTATATACTAATAGATCATGTTAAGTATATTGACATTGTTGGCAATATATCACTAGAAAATTTTTATCTTGCAAAATGAATACACACTATGCATGAATCAACTACCTGTTTTCCCCATTGACTGGCCCTTTACAAATACCATTCTATTTTCTCTTTTCAAAAGTGTAACTACTTTAGATAACTCATATAAGTGGATTCATACTTTTTATGATGGACTTATTACACTTATAATAAGACCATTAAGATTTATCTTTAAAATAGATGTTAAATTTCCTGCTTTTTAATTGCTGAGTAATATTCCATTTTTGTTGGTGGTGGTATTTTTTGTTTTTGTTTTTTGTTTCGTTTTGTTTTGAGATGGAGTCTCATTCTGTTTCCTAGGCTAGAGTGCAGTGGCATCATCTTGGCTCACTGCAAACTTTGCCTCCCAGGTTCAAGCAATTCTTCTGCCTCAGGCTTCTGAGTAGCTGGAATTTTAGGCACCCACTGCCATGCTCAGCTAATTATTGTATTTTTAATAGATATGGGGTTTTGCCATGTTGGCCAGGCTGGTCTTGAGCTCCTGATCTCAGGTAATCCTTATGCCCTGGCCTCCCAAAGTGCTGCTATTACAGGCATGAGCCACTGTGCCCAGCCTTATTCTATCATTTTTATATTCCAAATTACATTTATTCATTCATTTGGTGAGGGAAATTTGGGTTGCTTTCACCTATTGGCTTTTGCAAATAATGCTACAATAAATGGTGTAAAAATAACACTTCATTTGACCATGTATGCAAGAGTTTTTATCTGTGCTGCATTCTGTTCCATTGGTGTAATTGTCTGCCTTTATGCCATTACGAAATTATGTGTGAAAAGCTTTTGACAGTGCCTTTCTGGTACATCATAGTGCTTTATATTCGTTTGCACTGGGCAAGGAAATGGACACTGTACATTTTCCTGAGTATAAAGGAAAGACACAAGAGAAATCACCTTTTGTCCCAAAAGGGAAAAAACAAAAGTGAAATATTATGTGATAACTCTGTGTGTGTGTGTGTGTGTGTGTGTGTGTGTGTGTGCACAATCTCCCTATTAAAGTCAGGGATCATTTATGTAAATCATCATCTATTTAAAAATCAA